GATTGAGAAAACCTATGGCTATTATAATAATAATCACTTACAGGACGTACCACGGTCTAATTGCAATATTTTACATGGAACCTCATGGTAATATTATCTAAAATACATATAACCTTCTATTATGTATATAAGGTTTTAAGCAGTTAATTTTTTTCTCCCGTCAGAAAGTCACGCGTTAAACCCGTAAACGATAGGTTTTAAGGATTTGATATCTATTATACATCCAGGGGTTTTGTGATGGCATCGAGTGTCGTAGAAAGGAATAATGGGATAGCGATTGGATTTCACCTTTAAAACAATGGAAATCCTTGCTAATTGAAGTCCAGGATCCAGACAAAGATAGATTGTTCAAAATGTTTTGAGAAAATCCCCATGATGCACGTGTGTCGAGAATGGCCGAGACCAATAAATGTCCATTGATATATAACGGAGAGACAATCGAACTTGTAGTCTTTCCGCCAACAGACTTTTTCAATTTATTTTTCTTATCTCTTGAAAGTCAAAGAAAGAAATATAAACAGAATTTTGAAATATTATTTCCAAACTAAATGATAAAAAATTCTAATAAATATTTATGTGAAAAAATTTGCTCAGCTGCGTGTAGAAATAATTTCTGTATCCTTATTTAATTACTAAAAATAAAATAATGTTTAGATTATAAGTACCTACTATTGTTGTACTATTATAATTTATAATTCATTATGATTTACTTTATATTAGTAACCAAATACTATTGTCATGATATTATACAATTGTAATTTTTTTTATTTGAAAGAATATCAAAGAGCTCAACAAATATTTTAAGACAAATCAATTTTCAATAATTTCTATTAAACAATTATAATTTAAATTTTTTAACTTTGGAATTTTTAAATAAAAAATGAAATAACTTTCAGAAAATTAAAAACAAATATTATCTATAAGCTGTATTTAATAATGCTACACTGTCCATGTATCTATAAAATTAGGGAAGCTTAAAGAAAAATCAAACTATTTATTTGTACTTGTTAAATTTGAACTAATAATGTCATTAAATTATTAAAATAAATGAAAAATGTTGTATTATCGTTGACAAACAAAAAAATATAAAGAATTTTATAGCTATAGGATTTAATATTGTGATTAATTCAGTGGATTTGGCCTCAATGTAAGACGAGAGGAAGAATTTAAACCCTTTGCAAAGGGTCCGATTATAATCAATCATATTTTATAAATCCCGATGCCAAGGGGATGAGGTGAACTAGAAGCGTTATCATCATTGGCCAAGACGGACTGGTGAACAAATATTTACTAACTTTTTCTACCCTCTATCAGAATATGTTTACATTGAGCCCCAAACCGTCCTTTTCAAATTTTATTTTCATTATCTTTCGAGGTGACTATAGTTTTAATTAAAGAAAAATTAACCGTTTAAAATATTTTCATGATAATAATTATACCCATTATACTTAAATAATTATTAATACCTACTAATTATTTGACAATAAAAATATTACATTATTTCATTATTGTTCGCTACATGACACAACCATGTATGTATATAAGTCTGAAGTACCATTGATTAGGTATAGTCGTATAGATTATTTTTCATCGGTAATACTATAGAAATGAGTAATGATGATAAGAAAATAAATAGGTAGGTAACTAGTTTACAGCAGGGGCGAAACAAAAGTATTTAAGGGGATTGAAAGTGGTGATTTTCTATCTTCGTCTAACTAATTTAGGTGCAATATCCTTTCTATTTTCAACGTACCGATTGATCTAGTAAACGACAAAAAAAAAATCGGAAAACATATTTGAACTTTTCGTCAAGTCTACTTGTGATTAACTTTCCCACATGTCTTATTGTATCCCCATAAGTCCTCAAAAAGTTATATTAAAATATTTTAATTTTTCAATTTTTGGAGAATATATTAAAAACTTGAGAAAATCAATTTTAAGTAAACTTGGCAAATGTCATTGTCAGGAAGTTAATTTTTCAAAACATTTTTTTAAATTAAATTAAAAATGACAGCATAATAATAATATAATTATCAATAAGTGACTATGATACCTATGGTGAAGAATACAATAAAGTAATGTTTCACAGGATGACAAATGTTCCAACCCAAGGAACTCCGATAATAAAATAATAACAATAAAAATTGGAAACTATTGATATTATTATCGGAAAAAAGGCAATGTATTAAGTGAAGTATGGGTTTCGGTACGATGGATCAACACGCGCATGCCTTTTCAGACATGTTGATAAGACTGTTTCCCTTACTGGTTAAAAGAAAGAAAATGTAAAATATCCCGCAATCAAGCAATATAGATACTGCAGCAGGAACCAAGTGAAAGAAAATATATAGGTTAGCCTTACTGATATGAAAATATATGTATATGTAAATATGTTACCTTTTCATAGATTTGGATCGAAACTAATATTTCCCATGGGCTGGTATGACGCATGGATATAACAACCCCGTCGGCTATTCTCATTCGATTTCAATAGTGAATGAGCAAGCAACAACAATTGTGAAAGGTTAAAATAAATTAAAATAGCATTCTACGTTATTATTTATAGTAGTATATATCTGTATATACGACAACACGAGTATATTTTTCATTATAAAATAACGCACCTAACACTAATCAATAATTTAATTTGTTTTAATTCTTCATTTTAAATTTTGAGTAGGTAACGTAATATAATTTAATAATATGTTATCGTACTTTAAACAGTATAAACAAAATACACACGCTTGGTTAATTATTAAAATATTACAATTTTAATATTTTTAGCCACTAAACTGTTTTACTGTATTTATTTTATTTGTTTATTTAACGCCAATCGGCAATTCAAGAGATTTACAATACAAATTATATACAGAGAATATTAAGTAACAATGTGATGGAGTAATCTTATATAAAAAACGAGGTGAAATTACCAAGGTGTATTAAATATTTGTTTACACGTGTTTCCCATAAAATTAGAACCATGTAAAAAATAAAATAGTTATGTTAACAAAACATTATCTTTAAAATCTTTAGGCTTAAACACTTATTTTTACCTTGTAAAAAACTATTTTTTGGGTTAACCTTCACTTTCACACGTGAGAAAATACTTCTTTATTAATGTTCTTGATCCACAATTAATATTTTAACTTAAACTTTAGGTATCAAATATATAATACTAATATACTATAATCTATAGGTACTATATATTTGGAAGTAAATTTAATTTATAAAAAAACTTGTAACATGATTTTAATAATTTTCGGTTTTGAAAATTAAATAAGTAACTAATTTTTAACAAAATTCAGAAAAAAAAATACATTAAAAATAATACTGCTTGGAATAACTTTTAGAGAATAATTTCATTTATATCAATAACATACTTTCCGTACTCCTATACTCTATAGCCTATACAATATAGGTCATATTATGTTATCTATATATTAATGGATAATTAGTACTAATAAATACTAATCACAGACCACATTAGTTCATTATTAGGTCAATGAATTCCTATCACAACGCAATTACATGCCATGCACATGGAAATGGAAATAATATTAGTCTTAAGGGATGTTTATAGGAGGTACATGAAAACAGATTATACATTACAAAAATTAAGATTTAATTTTAACCGTAATGTAACTTGTAAACACTATTTAAATACTGTGAAAATAGTTATTAATTAATATATAGCATTTAACAACATAAACCGCATTTCTAGCAAACACTAGAACCTTTCTAATATTATTTTCCTACCCACAATTATTTATAATTATTCATTGCTATCAAATGTATAATAAATAACAAGGCTGGGCAAGTTAACGTTTTTTTTAACTCGTTAAGTTAAGTTATTTTAAAATAATTAAGTTAAGTTAAGTCAAAAGTTACTCTTATTTTTTTTCGCTAACTCGTTAAGTTAAAAATTAACTTTGAAAAAAAAGTAACTTAACTTAGTGTAAAGTTAAAATTTGTCTAATTTACAAAAATAAAAAAATCCAGACACATAATTTGGTTGATTAGATAGTTTTTCTTTACGTCCAAGAAAATGACTGTGGAAATTTAAAATGATATATCAATTTAAAAACCCATTCAAAAATTTGCATTATTCTTGGAACGAAAATTAACTTAATTTAGTTATTTTTGAAATAAAATTAACTTGAAGTTAACACGTTAATCTTGAAAAAAAGTAACTTATTAAATTAAAAGTTAACTTGAAAAAAAAAGTAACGAGTTGATTAACTTAATTAAAATTAACTTAACGTTTTAACTTAATTTTAATTTTTAACTCGTTAATGCCCAGCCTTGATAAATAATACCTATTTTATTACTGGCGTATACATATTAATTCAATAGTTAATCAAATAGGCAGCAACCAAAATAGTTTGATTATGATATAGGTATTCACAGTAGGTCTACTACAATTGTGTGACAAATTATTATCAACAGTTCATGAAAATTATTTCAAATATACAAAATTTGACAACTACAATATAGTTGGAATGTGTGTAATGTATGTTCAATGCAGTGATTATGAAATAAAAATCAAATAAATGATTAAATTTAATGACATTTAATGACTGAGACCTTTTAGACACCATTAGCCATCTATTGTTTTCCCTAAAACTTCTAATTACAATTCGAAAATTGGTCTTAGAGTTCTACATTGCATAAAGGTTTGTTCGGATAAAAGCTATAGTTTCCACCACGTTTCCCTTTCCCGGTAAAGGGCAGTGGTAGACAGGAAGTGTAAAAGGAAGGGAGTATTTAAAATGGCGCTCGGCCAATTTGTATTCTGGTCGTTTTACGTTTATCCTCTCCCAAAAGCCTCTAATACCGGGCCTTTTAAAAGGCGTTTAGACAAAATGAGCTAAGCATAGATTTACCCGAGATTATCACAGCGAGAGAATTCGTTTTATACATGTTTTAATTATTACAGTCGTTTCATACCACTAGATTAAACTATAAATATAATATTATACTAAACAAATATTGCAATTTACCTTAGCGTTGACATCTGCGGTTATTGAAATCAGCACTAATAACAAAACTGGCCAAACTATACGAATCATATTTCTTCAGCCAGTCTAAAACAAAAGAAAAAAAAAACAATTATATTAAAACTAGATTAACTTTATTTAGTACTGTGATATACTGATATTTATCATTTAAACACATCAATAATATTTCATTTTAATCGAAACACCAGCAGTGTATAATCCCTAAAAGCAGGATTTCGACCTCGTGGTTGTGACACACATTTACAGACACAAAAACGATTATCGGGCGTGAGATATTACGGCCGCCTCCACGGCTCATTCAAAAGAGCCGCAGCGACAGTCAAACATCTGCACATTTATGCGGTACCACGCATAGGACCACCAGAACTGGTGGTAACGAACGGTTGGATACATCTTGACCCTAGAAAATTGGAACGGTAAAAACGGTTTTCGTATAGTTACGGCCGCTCGACTCGCAATGGCATATTAACTGGAAAATAAATATCTTTGGAAGGGACGTGCTCTTTTGAATGTCATATATTATATTCTGTTGTTCTCTGGAAGGCCCCGAAAAATATACTTAGTAGTGTTGTACCTCGAAAAAGTCTCCGCGACACGGTCACAGAGCCGTGTCACGTATGCTCGACGAAGAGAGTAAACAGTTTGTGTTTTTATAAGTACGTGTGCTGCAACCATACGGCTCTGGGGCGTCTTCACGGGAGGGGGAGTGAACAGGTGGGGGGGCTTCCTGCATACCTTAAAGCTTCATAAACATTTTCATCTCCTCCTACATTTTGTCTTTTACAGTTAATTTTTTTGTAACTGAACTGTTTCTGATTACATTAATATTAATACAATTATTGTATACCTACTAATGATTAATTAATATGCATATACTAACTAGATACTAATAATAATAAGTTAAATAGTTAGGTACATTTAAAATCGTTTTATATAAAGTGGTGATCGTGTGACATAAACGTAGCCCACTACTCGATGTTTTCCACTTCGAAGAAAATTTATGAATCATAAATATGTGTCAATAAGTAGCCGTTAATTATTTACCTATGTACCTACCTAGTGGGAATTAGGTAATTCTTACATTGTATTCGTTTCTACCGTGATTACTGATAAACAAAGCGTTACGGAAAATCTATTAGAAAATAAAAACATTTGTACCTATAACTATACCCAACCCAAAAACATATTTATGTTAAAAATTAAAAATGTATATTATCACATAATAGGGTTTCGTCTTGTGGTTAAAATTGTGTACCCATAACCTCTTAAGAACCCGCATGTGTTGCGACTATTGTGGTTCATCTCAAATGCGGTTAACGTGTTTTGTAGTCAACTCTTGTTTTTTACATTATTACATTACTTAACTAGGTACCTAATTATTGTTATTTAAATTGCGTTTCATGGTATTTTATGTTTTGTATGTGCATGATGAAACTATGTAAGCTCCGTTACCTTCATTAGAAAAATCCAAGGATATAATATTACATATATACTAATCAGTAATCAGTAATCTGTGTACTATGTTTCATTGTTTCTGAAAGTTACTTAAAAGTTGAAATTAATATTATTTTTTGTTTTGTTTAGTTTGTCAATAATGATTTGTACACAACCATGAGTCATTACTCATTATATATAAAATATAATAAATATCAATATATCTTTTTATATTATTTTTTTTTTCACGTTGTCCCCTATTATTTATTGCAGTTGAGGGATGTGATGTATGGATTTCAAACTCTCCACCTACTTTAACATAAACACAAATAGGGGAGGCTTAGTGTTGTCTTAACAAATAATTTATACCACTTCTCAAATTCCGCTATTCCGTTCAACACCAAATCTAATATTTTATACTGAGCTATAACACCCCTCTAATTATTTTAGGCAATTCGTACCTATGGGTATGCTAATATTATGTCATTAGTATTTTAAAAAGTACAACATATATAACACTATTATATGGATATTGGATATAATAGCTAAATTACTCACTGTAATCAAGTGCTATTATGTTTTAGTATTATAAAACATATATTTCCCATAACATTGCTGAGTTCCTCTAAAAAACTTAGAAATTAAATAATATTCATAAATCCATAATATAACATTGTATACCTATATTAAATTATTGACCCACTTACATAAAAATGGTTATGACTTTTATATAAAATAAAAAACATGTTAAATCTTCTGTTCAAAAAGATTGTAATAAAACATGCATAATTTATTATAAGAACTACAAATAAATCTTAGAATGTAACCACATACTATACAAGAGTTACATTTATACAACATAATAATATATATTATAAGAATTTATCTTTGTTCTATTTTAATTATCAAGCTAGGAAAATTTAAAACGATTGTTTTTTTTTGTAATATGAAAAGAATGATAAAATACTTCAGTTATACGCCTTGTAATTAAACTACATAACACATATTATACATGGAAATGTAACTCAATAGTAAATACACACGAGAACTCGTGTTTACCTTCTAATTATTTAGGTATAGAGTTGCAAATATAACATTATAAAATGTTTTTTTACATAACATTTTATAAAACTAAATTATATAGAAATTTATATACTAATTAGTAATTGTACAGTTTATATTGTAGTATTAATGAATAAGAACATAAAACTTGACATTATAATACATCGAGGCATTAATATTGGATACTAGCGAAAAGTAAAAGATTGTGACTCCTATAATACACACACCATATTCACCCCGCACAATACCGTAGGTAACTTTTTCTTTCTGTTCAAATTATCGATGTACTAAATTGTTGTCATCGTAACGGCTGAATCCCTTCTAATGCTATAAATCGGTTAATTTAATTTCGTCGAAAAACCTTAAAAAGCCAACAACAAACGGACGTTGGTTACGCGGTCGTGCGCGGAACACTGCGGCGCTGTGTTATGCTCCCTGAAAAACTACCCGAAACTCTGACCTTTAGGGACTCCAGCCGGCGTCGTTCCTGCGTTTGACATTCGGCAAAACGCACCGTCGGCGATACGCAATTTTGGTGGCGGTGGGGGTGGGGGTGTGGGAGGATAAAAACGCTCCTTGTTGTTTGGCCTCCCTCCCCCTACACGCCATCCGTCACCGCCATCGCCTCCACTCCGACGTATATATTATATCGGGCCCTCCACAGTACACGCACATATATTATACCACTCGCCAAACGCTACCCCACGGACCTATACCTAACAAACAACGGAGTGCAATAATTTATTTATAGCTTTTTGACCGGCTCCATTTGACCAAACACACAGTAGAATGTAGATAGTTGTAGTAAAAGTGGAAGGAGTAGTGGTAGTAGTATTATTAGTAAGGGTAGTAGGCTAAATGTATGAGTATGTAGTAGCACAAAATATATACGACCATTTACCACAGTTCGTGAGCCGCTATCGAGTAAAAAGACAAAATCAATATCGGAATGTTATATTTTGCTCCGACTTTCAACCCCTCTCGCCCCACCAAAACCATCCACCCGACCACCAACCACCTTGCCGACACATACATATTATATACGTATACCTAATATCCTACTTCACGGACGACAAGCACGTGTCGCGCTGTCAAACGCACACAAAGATGCACGTGTGAGTGGTAGGTACGATGACGGACGTATGTGTGGTCTGTAAATAATTAATAAATCAGAAGGTGGAATAAATCATTTTCGGTGGGTAAATGGTATACAAAAATACCATTTTCTATACACCCGCACCCCCTCCCCCCCCCCAAAAATGTCTCCTTACAGCAAAAAGCTCGAGGAAAATACAAGGCTCAAGTTATTGTTAAACTTTTCCTACTCTTTTTTTCCCAACGTTTTGTTATTTTTTAATTAAAGTCGCTGGTATTCCTTTTTCTGACGTCTTAACCGGCAATGTTTAATTATTTTTATTTTTCGAATGGATATAATTGTTCAAAATGTTTACAATTCGTTCAATGTTTATATTTATTGCTATAGCTGTTTCCGTCGATACGTATGATACAGGCCCGTATACAGTGGGTGTTCACCCCCCCCCCCCCCCTCCTGACATTTTTAAAGTAGGTATATTTTTATAATATAATATAATTATGTATTTTTAATTGATTACTTCATGTATTAAAAATATTTTAACCCCCCGAAAATTGATCCTGGATACTTGCTTGGTATTATATCAAATAGATACTTACATCGAAACACAATTTATCACAATATGAACAATTTTAGTATTTTATATTACGCCTGCTACAAATTTCCAAAATGTTAATCGAAAAAATGTTTTTTATTAGCGTTAAAAAAAATTATTTTTGAACCATTTTTAAACTTAGAAAGTCATTATGAATTTTTTCTTTTTCGATAGGATATATGATAATATAATAAAACATGGTGCCTACCTACCTACCAAATTTAGTTTTCATAGTTTCATACTAAAAATATACATTGCTTCCACACAAAATGTTTGGGAAATACCACTATTAGGTATAAGTCTTATTGAACTATTTACAAAATTAAAACTAGATTTAATTGCTGTAGCCTGTAATAGTATGATATGTCAAGTGTCGACGAGACTTATGTCTGAACAAAGTTATATTAAAAGTCCTTTAAACCTCGTATTATCAACAATAATACATTTTAATGAAAATTATATTCTTAAAATTTCAATCAACTACACACATAATAAATGTATGTAGGTATTACAGGTATTATAGTTACATGCCATAAATTGAACAAAAATAAATTATTGGAACAATTTAAATTTAAAAAATAAGTCATTTTAAAATTTCCAATTAAATAAAATATTTCAAAAAGTAGATTATATTTTTATTTTCTTAGATACAATAATTGTAAAGTTACGCTGTATGAAATGTATGATTTATATGACTAAGTTAAATGCACTTTAACTGATATTTCTATGAATATAAATTATAAATGCAGTGTATAAAAAGTGAAAAGGTTAGACTGAAAAACTATATTTTAAAGAAATTATTTCAATAAAAATAAAAACAGAGTGAAATGTACAATATTATTATGTCACGAATCTTTTTGCTGTACA